AACGGTAGTGACCTTTGATCCGTAAACTCCGTGTGCGTTTTGTACGTTAACCTTATAACCCGCGATAGTTAGTGGCTTCTGTAAGTTAGTAAATCGTAAGATAGAGTTAATTGACTGTCATGGTGACGAACGAGGAAAGTGACTGTGGTCCGGCGCCGAAGCAGTCTGAAGCGGTGCAACATTTTGGACAACGCCTCGGAAGGCCTCCTCAAGTTGGAGCGGTGTCGACGCTCGGGCTGCTGCCGACGGCCAAGGTCTAGGTTCAATCACCCGCAGTCACACCCAGATACACATCACATCACCTTCTTTCCCTTTCACTACACAACCACATGTGACCTGACCGACTCCGGAGGGACCAGTCGCCTTGGATATAGGTAAGTAAGCTTCGCCTAATTCCTCTGCCGGTTGACTGGCCGTAGTATAGAACGCTCCCCCATATATTTAGTGTAATTAGAGAGATTCCACGTGGCCACATTGAGGCCCGACCTACGTCTGCTCGAGAAGTCTTCTGCTCATGGGCCCCTGAGGATTTGACCCTTTAAGGGAGCAGCCGTAGGCCGTAACAAACTGGTAGCAGAGCGCGGTTCCGGGTTCGATTCCCCGGTCGATCGCGACCATAGTGTTTGATAAACATTAAACAATTCTGGTGGCAGGGAGCGTTGGTTTGATTAGTTTAATTTGTATCTACAATCACGCCCGTCCGTAATACGTAAAAATATTTTTTTGTACGTAATAATAAAATTATTTTCCTTTGTTGCTTGCCTTTTTTTGGTTAGTGGGTAATTTGAAAAGCCGCGCCCTAGGTTGCGCAAGCGGGAGTTTTTCTAGAGATATACGTCATGTAGGTAGATGGTTATTTTTACGTAATCGGTTAATTATCGTTGTCGGATAGTTGTAGTGGATTACTTATCGAAGGGTCGATTTCCGAGCTAGGCATTTTTTGTTGATCGACCGTGATGTGTATCTTCGTTTGTATTTGAACTAAAGAGTAGTAATTGTATTTGCGCAATTTGAATTTAACTTGATTTGATCGCACTAGTATTTGTTATTTGTTAATTTGATTTGTGTCTTTTCTTTTGAGCTAACTTGTATTTGGTTGATAAGTAGTAATTCGTATTTGTGTAATTTCTATTCAACGCGATTTGATAGGAACTGCATTTATTAACTGTTAATTTTTGTTGTATTTTTTATTGGTTATCTTTGTAATTTGCGCTCGAGCCGCGTCGTAATTTGTATTCAGTAGTGATGTCATCGCCCAAGCTACTGATCCGTTGTCTGCGGACTGAGTTGCGCTGGGCCACAAGCGCCTATGCTTTGATAGGTCGACCGGATAGGGTCCATAACTTGATGAAGCGGTTCGAGCAGGTGGATGCTCGAAGGGCCGCAGTGGAGGAGGCTTACGCTGAGCTCGAGGATTCGGATGTGGAGAAGGGAGTCCTGGACTCCTGCTTCGCGAACTATGAGCAGTTCTTCTGGCTCACGGACGAGTTGATCGAGGCTGAAGGCAGGTATACCGAGGAGGCGCGTGAAGCTCGGATGAGTGACCTGTCCGAGTCCTCTCTGAAGCAGCTTCAGCCGGAGCTGTTGGGACGACTCCCAACTCTGGACTTGCCAAAGTTCTCCGGGGTCCTTTCCGAATGGCTGACCTTCGTTGATCTTTTCGACAGCCTAGTGGACGCCCGGAGTGACTTGACCCCGAGCCAAAAGATGGCGTACCTCCTGGCCTCACTGAAGGGGGAGGCCCTGGGCGTCGTCGGCCACTTGAGATTGTCGGACGACGCCTACCAGACTGCTCGGGACCTCCTAGCCAGAAGATACGCCAACGTCCGGCGAATTGCGGACGAACATGTTAAGCAGCTTCTAAGCCTCCCGCTGCTTAGTGACCGGGCCAGACTACGTCCGGACCTGTTGGATCCAGTCTTGGTGGCCTGTAATGCGTTGAGGCGGCTGGAATTACCAGTGGGCGAATGGGCTTTTTTGTTGCTCCGCATCGTGCTGTCCCATCTACCTCTCGACCTTCGAATCCATTTTGAGGAGAGGTACGGCGGGGACGAGGCCTCCTATATTCCGCCCTTCTATGACCTGCTGCGGTTTTCGGAGGAGCAGTGCCGGCAGATGGAGAACGCGGCGGGCACCATTGACGACTTACGAGACGTGCCCAGTGAGAGGCTGAACCCGCCAGGCAAGTCGTCGTCAACCCCCTCACCTGCTCCTATTGTCGAGCATCTGATCACCGGGTAACGTCGTGCCCGAAATTATTAGTTAAGCCGGTTCCAGCGAGGCGAACTATCGCCAAGGAGCGCCGCTGGTGCTGCTCATGTTTGGAAGGGCACCTCCAGCGAGACTGTCCGCATCGGCGGCCCTGTCTGCATTGCCAGGGCAATCATCATGCAGTTTTGTGCCTGGGTGCGAACGGCGTCTCCTCTCGGGGCTCTGCCAGGCCCTCGACCCCCACGGGCGGGGGCGCTCAGCCACGCCTTCTGCCGGGCGGCTCTCGGCGCCCGCCGGCCGGCCACCGGGCCCCTAGGTTTGGAAGGGGCCCCTCCCCCGACCAGTCGGGGGGTAATTACCCCAGGGGCGGGGGTGTCATCACCCCCCTTTAGCGTGTGGAGAGGAACTTTACGGCCACTCATCGGTCCGCTGGACCCTTCTAACTCCCGTTAGCTGAGTGGCCGCGACTGGTGTACCACTGTTCCCCATTTGATGGAGGCGGCCCTGGCTAGCTGCCGCCTTAGCTCCCACCACGGCCGCCTCCACTGAGCCTTAAGCCGTCAACAGTCCACTTGTCAAAATGTTCTGTTGCCGACGGCCTCAGTGAAGGCGTACAACCCGAGTGGCGACTGTTAGCGGTTGCGCTCTATTGGTCTTGGGTTCACGCCGTGTGGCCTCCACTTGGTAGTGGGAAGATTAGGGCCCCCCTGGAGCGTTGAATCACGCTGTCAAGGGGTATTATATTTGGTTTGGTCGAGCACTTAGTTAAATATACTTTAAATTAAAAAAAATGCTTTTGGATTTTCCGCGTAATTTTCCTATTTGTAGCGGTTGTGACTAAAAGAATTGAATTTAATCTACTCCTTTAAATGTTACTGCATGTGTTTTGTAAATATATTTAGTCACTGCATTTGATTGTTGCTCCTGGTTGCTGAAAAGAAAATTTGAATTCATTGAAATTGAATGCCACGCTACTTGGAAAACTATGTATATGTATTGTGATAGTGTTTAATCATTTTGCTTTGTGAAAAAGAAGGCTGAAATTAGATAACCCTATTTGTGCCGAGGTAAATAAAAGTCAATTCTCCTTTGGTTTACATTTTGTTGGCACTGTCTAAGTTACGTAAATGAGAAATAGGGCTGTCTCTTACGTTTATTGTTTTGTTTAATTTGCAAGTTGACCTATGTGCATCGGTGATTAATTTGGTTGAATTAATTCTGTAATTGAACATTGATGCTTTTGAAAAATTAGTTGAAATATGAGCATTCTTCTTGTCTAACAGGCTAGCTTAGTTTTGTAGATTATCAGATGGAAATCAGCTGTCGCATCATTTGGTAAATGATTATATGGTGGATGGCTTAGCTATGCCTACTTGTTGAAAATTCATACTAGGGACTATCTGTGCGCTTCGTTAGGCTCTCCACAGACGACGTTCATGTGGAATTTGTGGGTGCTCTCTGCACGGAAGCTTAGGAGGCCGCTCTGGGCCGCTTCGTGTCGCGTCGCTGTTCGCAGACCTGATCTGGTGCGGAACTAATCGTAGGGGCACAGATAGGTGTTTGAAAGAGGTCGTCGGACTTCTGTCCAAAATAGGACTTATTTATGGGCTGCGATGTCCTCAACTCTCCGGCTTGCCCACGTTGGGGCGGTAATTTGAGCCGTAGGTTAGGGTTGCAAGACCTGATGGGGCACCTAAGGTGGCCTAGTTTGGTTGTAGATTCGGTCTTGTAACTTGCCGTCGCGACCTTGTCCCGCTGCCCGGTTTGCTCGCGGGCCTAAATCCTTATGTCCGGGACGGGGGTTTGTTCGCGCTAAACGCTAATTTCAGGAACGAACGCAAGAGGGCGCGCGGCTCAGTGTCATACCGGTTTGACATTCAGTCGTGCGTAAAATGCCCAAGGGCAGTCAGTCGTCTTTAAGCGGTGCTAACGATTGGCACGCTGTCATTTTGTCGGGAACTCGGAATAATTAAGCGCGGACAGTAAAAATACGGTCTAGGATTGGTGGCGCGCATCCCTACTGGAGAGCTTCCCAGGGACACATTGTGTCTGACTCAGAATCTGCATAAGTGCATTTGGCAATATTAGCTAGTGCGGCCTCTTATATTCTAGAACTAACTGTTGCAACGCGAAACGGTAGTGACCTTTGATCCGTAAACTCCGTGTGCGTTTTGTGCGTTAACCTTATAACCCGCGATAGTTAGTGGCTTCTGTAAGTTAGTAAATCGTACGATAGAGTTAATTGACTGTCATCGTGACGAACGAGGAAAGTGACTGTGGTCCGGCGCCGAAGCAGTCTGAAGCGGTGCAGCATTTTGGACAACACCTCGGAAGGCCCCCTCAAGTTGGAGCGGTATCGACGCTCTGGCTGCTGCCGACGGCCAAGGTCTAGGTTCAATCACCCGCAGTCACACCCAGATACACATCACATCACCTTCTTTCCCTTTCACTACACAACCACATGTGACCTGACCGACTCCGGAGGGACCAGTCGCCTTGGATATAGGTAAGTAAGCTTCGCCTAATTCCTCTGCCGGTTGACTGGCCGTAGTATAGAACGCTCCCCCATATATTTAGTGTAATTAGAGAGATTCCACGTGGCCATATTCTGGCCCCGTGCCTCTGCTGCTCGTCGATGGGATTACTCATGGGCCCTAATCCCGTCATCCTTGATTGGGGCAGCTAGGGGCGTGTACACTCGTATTATTGACATTCCGAAAATACATGTTATGAAAAATGTTAATTTTATTACGATTTATTCGTTAAAGTTTTTTTACAAAACCATCCACCTGAAGACAGTAAGTTGCTACTGCAGCCCATGGAAACTTGCAGCTAACGTCAAACTAAGAAAGTCGTTGTCAACTCTACAGACTGAGATGGAATACTTTACAGCCGTTATTTATATCGGTTGTAGGTAAGAAGGTAACCCTAGACAGAAATAGGGTTCTACCACTTAGTTCATACATATACTTCAAAAAGTGTTATTATAAATTCGCTGAAAGAATTGCTGTCCTTAAAAAATAATGTCTGTGTTACGACGTGTTTAAAAGTCAGTAACGTAAACAAAACTGCGATAAGAAATGTATCCTAAAAAGGTATTAAACAAGACTTTTTAGAAAAAACATTAATTTAGAATATTGCGAAACATATTCAGATACCTATTACTATTCAGGTACCTATAATAAATAAAATACAATATTCTAATACTAAAATTAAAGTTTCTAATGCACACTGTGAGAACCAATTAAAGTCCATTGCTTAACAAATAGATTGCCTCACTGGATTGATATTTGCCGTACTTACCACGCTCGGCAAGCGGGTTAGCAATCGTAGTTTTTTTTAAACTTTTAGTCCCTTGTTAGGAAGCCGCTAATGCGCATCTCCTGATTTGTTTCCCTTTGTCACCACTTGCGACACCCACGGGATGAAGTAGCGGATATTCTTACACCGCCACTACACACAATGAGAAAAACATTTTTCTTCAAAGTATGAAGGACACTAAAAGAAAATATTCTACTATATGCAGGGCATTTTTTAGAATATTTTGTTTTGGGAAACAATTCCTATCTATTTATTTTTTTCAAGCATTTTTGTCGAATATCAATATTTTGTGAAAATATGCCACAGCGTCTACTTACCATCACCCTGATTCTGTTAAAAATATGTTTTATAAGATAAGAAGAATATTTAGCAACGAAAACCTAAAAATTAAAAGAAAATTACTAAGTTGAATAAGGCTGCATGCATACCTTTGCTTGTTTAGGACATTTTGATAACATATTATCGATAATGTCAATTTGTACAAAAATGTAGAATAGAATAGTAATTAGTAGAATTTCAAGTATTTGCAATTATTTGAAATTCAATTGATTTGCATTCAGATGATTATTATTATAAAATGTGGCAATTTTTCCTATACATTTAAGTACAAATTGTTTGTATCAACTCCAAACCACAGCATTTAGACAGCTAATCATTTCAATCGTAACTACTTGTTAAATGTGTTTATAAATATGAGATTTCTATCCGAGGTGAATATTACACGTCTAGGTATAAGTAATTACGTGTGTGAAACACTAATTTTGCAAAAAAAACCTGAGATTTTGAAAATTCAATCGGGATTTGTTTTGCTCACGAATGGCCTGGCCTATCTTTCTTGCTCTAACATACGCATACACTATGCTCTTTCTGTTTGTCATTGCCAATCTGTTCTAACGTTAGTTAGTTTTCTATATACAGTATGGTTCAAAGTGTTATCGAGATTCCGAATTATTAACACATCTAGAAAAGCTAAAGAATTATTTGCCTCCAACTCCATTGTGAACTAAAGTTTTGAATTTATGGAGTTAAGGATGGTCTATAAATGCAGTTACTTTATCCAAAGGTACAATTGTGAAAGTATCATCTACGTACAACTTGTAGAATCTTGGATTTACGGGAAAAGTAAGCAGGGCTTTCTCCTCAAAGTCTGCCATGAATATATCGGCGACTACGGGAGATACAGGTGAGCTCATCGCCACACCATCTACTTGCTTGTAGAACTCCTCCTTCCACAATAGATAGCCAGATGTGAGGCAGTGTTTGAGTAACACTGCATATTCTGTAGGCATGTTGTTATCTTCTAGCTTCTTAGTTATAATTGAGATGCAGTCTTCAATAGGTAAGCATGTGAATAGTGACTGAACATCAAAACTGACCATAGTTTCATTGTCAGCGAGATGTAGATCTTTCATCTCACTAACAAAATGGTATGAATCATTTGTGTGTGCTCTGGTATGTCCTATCAGTGGTAACAATATTTTTGCCAAGTGTTGAGCCAACTCATAAGTTGGTGAATCGATCTGGTAGAGTCGAGTCAGAGTAATATTTAAAATCTGAAGGTAGCCGGGCTAATTATGACATCGGGACGTCAAACACATCAGTCCCCCCCGTGACCAGTGGTTAATAAAACACACACTTTATCACTAGGTTTTACTCACATACTACTACACTGTGCTATAGGAAAACTCAAGGAGGCAGAGATTGTTTAACTATACATCATAATGAAAAAATGCAAGTGATATCGCAATTCACTCGGTGACAGCGTCATCTAGGAAGAACAGAAATAACTAAATTTACTTAGAAAGTTTGGATTTAAGTTTGTTAGCTAAATATCATGGGTGCTGTAAAACACCCGAAACGTCGGAAATTAAAAAGTTAAATTAAACGCGATAAAATTCGTAAAAAAATAGTTTCATTTAATGGATACTCATTGGTTCGGATGGTTCTCTTTTGCCAAATATATTTAAATTTACAAGAGCGATACTGAACGTTTTTAGAACTTGCCACTTGTAAACAATATAATAAAAAAAATAAGTTCAAATTTTGAAAATGGAACTCTTTGCCAATATTATTATGTATGTATCTTATTAATTTGTCATTTGTTTAAGATTTGGCGGCGAATTGAAAATTTCTATGTCACGTCCATTGAAGTATAATGTACTTATGTACTAGCTATTTCAAACAAAAACTGTGCCCTACTCTATGTCATTGTAACAGTCTTACCGCGCATGCGCGGTTTTTTTATCATAATAGATTATGCGTAGGTAGGTAGGTAGAATGATCAGTAGGTATTTAATTATTGCTTATTTAGAGTACATATATTGTTAATTAATTTGTTAAAACGAGTTCAACTTTTAATAATTTGTCATTTATTTTGCATGATATGAGGTAAATTAATAAGATAATATATAATATTATCACAATAATTTTTTTTATATAAATATTTTTAAGAGAACTATATAAATTGGAAGGAATCGAATCTAATGAAATAAATTTATTTAAATCTAAAACTGGGTCCCCAAAAGCCCTAACCCAAGTTCGCGTGAGGCATTAACAGAGAGCTGATACTTTTTATATTATGCCTTATGAATTACTGTGAGAAAACATAGTAAAACTTTAAAAACCATTTCTGTGAATGTGTATATACATATAATTCATGTGTCACATGAATTATATGTATATACACTTATTTGTTGTTTTTGCTGAAAATTAATTTCAATTAATAAAATGTATTAATGTTATTGTAAAAATATGTATTAGGAATTTAATTAAGTGCCTTTAAACAATATGTTTTATTAATTTTTGCCTTCTTCGTACTATATTTATCCTCTTCTTTAAAATGCAAGGAACAAATGTATGTATGATTTGTTGGTAACCACATTTCTTCTCTACGATTATTTTGGACTAATTTAATCGACTTTTCACGGTTTTCGTGGTTTGGACGTGGAAACCTAAAAATAAAATGAAAGAATAATCAGCAAATATAAACGTAAGAAATTTAGCCTAATTACAAATACTTCTATTTATTTCTACAAAAAAAATTGTGCATAATATAATCGTCCTACACTTGCTCACAGAAATGTCGTATTTGAACTAACAAATTAATAATTTTTTATTATTTAAATATCTTACTTACCAATGAAAAGTGATTCCTTGGTTTTTACTAACATTTCGTGAAGTTTTTGTGCGATATCTAAGAATACACCCCGGCATATTTTATCAAGATATTTTTTTTTAAATCAACACAACACGTGACAACTCTACAAGCGCCTAGCGAGCGACTGATTAAAGTGCGGTGATATTGCCGCAGTTGAATGGAACAGCGTAACTTAGTGCAGTGTCGCCTCTAGTACGTAGTACATAATAACTCAATGGTCACGTCAGCATGAATTTAACGCGAGAAAATTTTCGTAGAATGATTTTTTATGACTTTTCATATAATTTAAGTCAACAAGAAAGTTATGATAGACTTCGATTGGCCTTTCACGATGAAGCTTCATCTTGTGACAGTGTTTACAGCTGGTTTAATAAGTTTAAACGTAGTCGCACTAATATCATCAATGATCTGCGTGAGGGATAGCCTTCTACGGCGACGCCTGAAGATAACATCAGTGTTGTGCGGCGTATGATAGAGACTGACAAAAGTGTGACTTATCATCAGATTTGGACAAGCTTAGGCATCGGTATGAGTTAAGTGCACAAAATGCTCCATGAACATTTAGCGGTCAGGAAGCTTTGTGCCCGGTGGATACCTCGTAATTTGACAGAGGCTCAAAAACTCCGTCGTGTTGATTGGTGTCGTGAAATTGTTTTAATCTTTGAACAATTTCGGAGGTGACTCAAATGCTGTGTTCGACATACTTACGGCTGACGAAATCTGGATTTATTGTTGTAAATCTGAAACTAAGAGACAATCTGCTGTCTGGGTGTTTCCTTCTGACGAGTTGTCAACTAAAGTGAAGAGAGGTCGAAGCCCGGAAAAAGAGATGGTGGCCTCGTTCTTCGGAAGGACAGGTCATTACGCAACAATTGTTTAAGAGGATCGAAAAACAGTTACTACAGAGTGATACACTAACGATTGTTTGCCACTTGTCTTGGAAAAAGTTCGGGAGAAGCGACCTCGCAGTACATAGAAATATTAAAAACAGGAAAAGTGGCAAGGGGGCGTGTCTGTGTCCGTTGTCTGTTGTAAATCATGGAATCACTTACCATATGTAAGAACAAGTATTTTACTATATTTATCTTTAAAATCATGAAAAACAACAAATCGTAAAATATTTCTTGCTCTTAATGTGTTATTTTTGTTTTCAAATATCACTGTGACTGTACTATTTTGTAGTAAATACATTGCTCCTTAACCACTACTTATGTATGTCGCTAAGCGGCTGAACAAGCAATGTAAATATGACAAAACGATACTTTATTTATGAGAATGCATCGTGTAGTACGGCCACTGTATCTTGCGATGAGTTTGGTGATGTGCTTGTGCAGATCCACTAACGTATGCTATCGACAACAATGTCGATTGGCGAATTGCTATTATAGTTTACTCTTTCAATTTGTCAACCGTTTCAGCCCGGTGGGACGACTTATGTGACATAATGGTATTTAATTATTTTGATTATTTTCACCATTTACTACACTGAATGCGTAACCAGCGATCATAAAGTAAGTTGCTTAATTAATTAGGTTAATCATCGGTGAAGTCTTTTGGGTTGAATTATTGTATATTATGTTTTCAAAAGCTTCGAATATATTAATAACTATGCATATTATACCTAATTGGCATGGTTCAGAATTCAGATAGTATTATAAGAGTGACTTTTGCTAAAAATAAGTCAACATAATTCTCCTGGCTATTTATTTGTTATGCGTGAGTGTGTTTGTTTTCATATATTTAACAATATCATGACCAACCAGGGTTTTTTTTTAACAAAAGCCTGTCAGGTACATGGTGAGGTTAAGAAGTTGCGTAGGATATATATAAATGATAAATAAATTATTATCGTACCTTTTCAGCTTCCCAAAAGATGCTAATTTGAAAAAGTAATGAATTGATGCCATAGGAAGGCCACCAAAATGGTTCCCTAGAAAAACTAGTACTATATGCCAAAATACCTACTTTTTCAATACGATATGACAATCTAAACCAACATAACCGGATTTTTTTATTGTTTTCATTTGTTAGGTAGTTAAATTTACGTTTAGCTACATATTGTTTATTTTTATTATACAATTTCCTGTTCATATCGTTTTTTTTATTTTATTTTCAATTTTAGTGCAATTTTAGTATAAATGGAAGAAAATCGATAACTTTCCAATTTAGTCAATCACTAGTGTATATGTAAAAATGGCTTTTGCACAGCACAACGATAGTGACCGATGTTTTTGTGTGAGTAAGTAGTACGGTGCATGGTAAATGCACGCTGTGTTTGTAGGGATACGGTTTATAATTGATTGTGTAGTACGTTCTGATTTATAAAATGCGGGTGTGTGCGCGACTGCGTATATATTGCTTTTACTGATTTGCATGTGTAGTAGTAGGCGGGTGGTAGGGGCCAACTGGAGACACCGGGTTCCGATACATTTTCAACTCCCGGGCATATCTCCTTCTTTTATTATATCTATATCGCAGTAGGATCCTCCTTCACCACGACAATGCCTCGTACACCGTCAAGCAAACAATCGACTACTTGTTGACGTCAGAAGTGGAATTACTGGGTCACCCGCCCCTATAGCCCCAACCTCGCACTTTGCGATTTTTATTTATTTCCGAAAATAAAAGAAAAACTTCGAGGAAAACATTTTATGGACGCCGAGGAAGCAATGGCTGCATTTCAAAATGCCGTCGAAGAGACGCCTAAGGACGAGTGAGCAAAGTGCTTTTCTCTGTGGTTCCATCGGATGCAGCGATGTGTTAATGTAAATGGCCATTATTTCGAAAAGATATAATAAAACTAATAACTTGCTAGTTTGTTCAGTTCTTTTATTTTCTAAGAACTTTCAGTGTCATCATCGTATATATACGGCTATGAGCGGGCATTTTTAACATTTGCATACAAAAACTTTGAGCTTCCGCCTGTGTGACGCCCTCTAGCTAAACATAGCAAAACTACGCTGAATATTTTTTAAGGAAAACATTTCAGCTATTTCTCAGTAGGTGATGCCAACAAATATAAGGTAAAACCCCATTTAGAACTGTACCGTTTCAACATCAAAGTATCGATAATGATGTTGAAGGTTACTACCTTTCCTTGGCAGTCGGGTAAAAAGAAGAACGCCTGACATTTAGTGATATTTCATTGCTGTTACTTTTAATTACCCTAGCCTTATGTCATGATAGAATCACTAATTAAATATTTACTAAATAGTAAAATAATATTATTATATTTATATCCAATACAAAATTTGCCTATGAGTATAATTTTCCTGCGACTGTATAATGGCGTAAGAAAATCTACTACCCCATATCGTCCCGTGGGTATTGTAAGAGGTGACAGAGGGAAAAACCAGGAGATGGGCAGCAGCGTTTTCCTAATAATAACTAAAAATAAAAAAATGCGGTTGCTAACCGGCCTGCCAAGCAAGGGTATCTGCCTATATGAGGCAATCTATGGGGTAGGCTCACAGCTCAGCTAATAGATAATTAATACAAATTTCAGGGTCTGCGCCAATAATTTTGCTTTTTTGTTTTTACGCAATGCTTTAAGACTTCTTCTTAAACTTTACCTTTATTAATTTTAATTAAGTAATTTTCAAAAACCTATCTTTATTGTGCGGACAAATAAATCACATTTTGGTTTTTTTTACCCTTAACACTTTTTTACCTAATTCAAAAAGGGCTATGTAAGTACCTTACATAATGTCTGTATTCACATGAATTCCATTTTATAATTATTAAACATGAAATTAACGATTAGAGTTCGAGTTCAAACTGGGGAGCCCCAACCTAGAGATGGAAACATTATTCCATGTCAGGCTGAATCTGCGCCTTGTAAATTTGCAGTTGGTGTGCCGGCATGAAATAATGTCATTATGTCCTACTCTGCCGAGCACGCCAAGCTTTTTAGAGGCCAATTTATTTGGTCTCCTCTTCCAATTGGCCACGAAACTGCACGTTACCCGATATGTCGACGCCGAGAATTCCGATACTGGCTGAGGCAACAAGAAGATTTGCCTTGAAACTGACTTTAACTTGCTACTAAGTTGATAACTACGCATCGCGAATTATGATTCCAATTTTACCTCGTTCTATTTCGTAACTGTTGACTCTGCAGGCCATCCGTGGAACTTTTCGCTTATTTTCGAGCGCAACGCTCGTAAATCTACTTATTTTTTAAAAATCTTTAAAACGACTCGACAAACACACACACACACACACACACACACACACACACACACACACACACACACGCACGCGCGCACGCACGCACGCACACGGCCGGACGTCCAGCCGGAAATAGTCGGAATGGCTTCCTAGGATCTCAAAAAGTGGAGATCTGATGAAAACTCGCATTCTCAAAATCGAACCGATATCTATATTATCCTACTTTTAAAATTATCAATGCGGGCAGTTAAACACAATAAACTATTTACAACAACGAACTTTAGCTACTAGGAGTTTCCTTGTTTATGCAAAGTAAATGCAAAGGCGGTGAAAGACTCATATAATCTTTGAGCACCACGTAAACTTTCATTGCTTAAAATGTAACGCCGTCCCATTTCATAGTATTCGAATATTTTAATTTTTTCGTGACGTCATTGCTAATGAAGTGACAAGTAAAGTAATACTACCAACGAAAATAAAAAAAAAACATTAAATTAAAAATAGTATGCGCTACATATTTATGAATGACCATCAGTTAAAATAACACACACATTTTGAATAAAAAAGATAAAAAGGGACAAAATGTTTGACTTTTCTTCCATCATTCCAATTTTCATAACAACATTCGCTTATATTATCTATTATGGACCTCTTCTACAAATTTGGTCTTATACTGCAAAATAGGGGACTTTAGGGACTTCAAGAGCCTACGCCTTTTTGTAACGGCTGGCAACGCATCTGAAATTCCCCTGGTGTTGCAGTTGTTCATGGGCGGCAGTAATCACTTACTATCAGGTGAGTCGCATACTCGTTTGCCCCTCTCCTATAAAAAAAAACTGTGTATAATCATACTTTAATATAAAATTGTTTTCTATGCTATTTTATTAATTACATATAAACAGAAATATCTCATGGCTTTCCACTAATGGTGGTATAACTGCTCTAGATACTTCAGACTTAAAATAACGGACGCATCAAAACTTGTATCTTCACCAATCCATATGCCAAGCATGGCAATTAAAGCAAATCCCTGCTAAAGCTAGAGGCCAGAAGCATAATTTTTGAGGATGGATTAGAAATAAATTATAGGTCTTGGAGTTGGTATAATAATTATAACTACTAAGGGTAAAATGCCGTGCAGTGGCGGTGTAAGAATATCTACTAGCCCATATCGTAGTAGATTTGAGCCTATAAAAAGCAGAAGGTGGTGCTCCTCTATACCGTACGAATTGTCCACTGGTTTCGCTCCTTTTCTCCCTAACCCTCAGCCGATTGGTCTCCCCTGTCGTGTGTGTGTATGCGTACGAGCGTGTGTGCGTGCATATGTCTTGGAGTATGTTTAATAGTTACAACAATTTAGGGTTAAAATAAATTAAAATTGTCCAATCAGTAAGTATAATTAGTTACAAATAGTCCAACTGCCATTCCATTAAGTGTTATTAGTTACAAATGGTTATAACATTTCCCGAAGAAGCTTTCGCAGAATTTTTCCACTCGGATTTCTTGGTATCTCCTTGACGAATTTCACTCCACCACGCAATTGTTTTGGATTGGATAACTGCAATAATAATAAATTTATGGTGATTACTAAAAAATTTATAACTATTGGTGTTCAAATAATAGCGAAGTAAAAGAGTAACTAACTTCAAAGCCGTGGACTCCTTGTTTAAGTATAAAACTCAGTTGATTTTTTTTATAGGATAAGGGTGACAAACGAGCACACAGTCCATCTGATGGTAAGTGGTTGCTGCGGCCCATAGACATCTACATCTATCCTCTATTACAAATCAAAATGCAGATGCGTTGTCACCCGTGAGGACTAAGATGGAATGCCTCATTTCCAGTAAAAAGGGCCTCCGGCTACCTGCACACACCAAGCGAAACGCAGAGGTAAACCTCTACTTCACGCTGGTATTCTGTGAGGTCGTGGTACAGTAAAAGCCGCCACGTGGCTCTACCACTGTTAAGGTGTGTGATGGGTTCAATGTCATCATCATGAGAAAGCGGTATTAGAGAATCCCTTAACCTATTTCGTATTGTAAAAGTGAATTGTCTCCTATTTTTTTATTCACTTTAAATTACAAGAATATTGTTAAAGTAATTTATGCTTTTACTACTGGTTCGACAAAAACCGTCCTTAGAAGAACCAGCAAGAAACTTAAAGAGACTTCTTAATTGTTAATTGCATGCCTTAAGCGTAAAGCGCGTAGGTATGTTCTACAAGCGCATTAAAATCAAGATTACAACGTTTTGTCGCATGAAAACGTATCTAACAATCATATTGAACATATAAAATAAATGATATAAAAAGCACATTATCAGAAAGATAAATGATTGTTGAACTTATTTTTTTTAAAATCGACTTATTCCTATTTTTACATAAGAAAAGCGGTTTTAGTGGCATAAGATGTAGATTTATCAAGTCCGCATAGAGGGGTAAACACGATAACTTTTGAAAGTTTCAATTGTTCCATTTAATCTATTTTTTAAACTCTTCATCTATCATGTGGGAAGCCATGGAATGTAAATGGCAATTTATTTTTGTACTCTTTAGTTTTAATTAATTTTTTTTCGGCTGAGAAATGCCGAAATTTTCGGTGTTTTGAGCAGCCTTGTATTAATTTATTTTACTAAATACACTTTGCCTTAATGCGGGCCACAGAGTACTTTTTTACTCCGGGCTCAGCCGCCGTCGTTAGTGGTCGTTTGTTTACAGCGGTTCTTGCTGAAAAATATTGATCGCTGTAGAAGTACAAAATATTCCAAAAACCAAATTTGATACATACTTGACCAAGATAAGCTATTATTATTATTTTTATAGTCATAGATTATTATTACATTATTTTGTTTCGCTAAAAGTACGCAGGATTTGTATATAAATATACTTATACGTCTTGAACTTTATAGAGACCTGAAGGTGTACTTCGACATCTGCTACTGTAACTCCTCGACGAGTAGAACCAGGTGTGCCGAGATTGTGCTCGTTATGTATGATGAGGCCTTACTCCCGGAGTGACTTGAAGGTGTACTTCGATGAATGCTACTGGAACTCCTCGAAGAGTAGTAATAGTAATAGGTGTGCTGAGTTTAGTCTGGTCATAATTAACAAAATGAGCCGTTTTGTTAATTATGATCAGACCTTACCTCCGGACAGTGGCAGATTATCCTTAAGGCAAACTAGGCACGTGCCTAGGGGTGCAAGGTTAAAAAGGCGCACGCGGATATATATAAACGAAAAAATATCGTCGCATTTGATTACTCCTAAATAGCTCTTACTCTCTAATCACATTTTTTATTTATGCCCCTCTGTTAGTGGTACTCGTATTCTAATTATTTAGCAATTATTAAACTATATTGTAAATTATAATGTAGTTTATTTGCAAAATGAGTGGATTAATTTATAATAGATATAATATGGCCCCTAGAGGCGCACCGATGAGGTGATAGGTTAGCCTAGGGCGCAGTCGAAATTTAATCCGCCTCTGCCTCCGGACTTGATAGAGCGACCTGAAAGTGTACTTCGATGAAGGAACTCCTCGAAGAGAGT